TTATTTATTTGACAGAGAGAGAGAGAGAGAGAGAGAGAGATCCCAAGTAGGCAGAGAGGGAGGGGGAAGCAGGCTCTCCACAGAGCAGAGAGCCTGATGTGGGACTCAATCCCAGGATCCTGAGACCATGAGCTGAGCCGAAGGCAGAGGCTTAACCCACTGAGCCACCCAGGCGCCCCTAAAGTGGTTTCTTATGAAGAGATGGTTTTGTCCCTTTGACACTTTTCTTTACAAATCATAATGTCTGTTCACTCTTTTCTCCTTCCTTGTCTTTCTCCTTTCAGATCTCATGCACTTGCCATCAATCTTTTCAGACTTTTTCCTCTCCATATTTTAGTTCCTTCACTATCATGGAGGACTTAGTTTATCCTTTTAGTTTATTACCTGTTAGAAAACACTCACATAACCTTTCTGAATAGATCTAACTACTCAGTGATGTAGTTATTGCCTCTGTCAAAGCACAGAATTGGTCAGGAAAGCAGAGGTTGAGTCCCAGTCCTGCCAGGCCACTTTCTTCAAGGGGAAAAGGGGGACACCAACTCCTGCTCTGTCCCCTCCATTATTGTGTGGCATGAACGAAACAATGAAAGCAGAAATGAAACCTTGCACAAGTACATAGTTGTTGAGGGGTTAAGGAGGCAGAGAGTTGAGTGTGGGCTTTGGAGTCAGATCTGGGTTTAAAATTTGGGCTCTGACAAACCATAAGGGACTCTTAAGCATAAGAAACAAACTGAAGGTTGCTGGAGGAGGGTGTGGGGGATGGGGTAACAGGGTGATGCACGTTAAGAAGGGCCCGTGATGTAATGAGCACTGGGTATTATATAGGACTGATGAATCACTGACCTCTACCACTAAAATCAATAATACATTATATGAGAATTGAATTTAAATAAAAATAAAGTTTGGGCTCCATTGTTATCTAGTTGTGACTTTGCAGAGATTACTCAATTTCTCTGAGTCTCAGTTTCCTCATCTGAGCCTCATTTTTATGGAGATGAGGTGGCCGGTTTCTCCTCATTTGTAAAAAATACCTGCTTCAAAAAGTCGTGAACAAGAGAAGGCTCAGCAAGAAGATGAGGATGTCTTCTCCTGTCACTGCTGCGGAAGATTGTACTGAAGATTTTAGCCAGGGTGATTAGGCTAGAAAAAAAAAAGGAAAGAAATCCAGTTTGGAGATGAAGAAGTACAACTGTCTGTATTAGCAGATGACATGATTTTGCATATGGAAAATCCTAAATAATCCACTAAGAAACTATTAAAGCTAATATACAACATCAGTGAGGTTGCGGGATATAAGCAGTATACAAAAATTTGTTGCATTTGTATAAACTAGCAATGAATGATTTGAAAATGATATTAAGAAAACAGTTTCATTTATAATAGCATCAGAAAGACTAAAATACGTAGAAATAAATTTAATGAGAAGTGTAAGATTTGTACATGAAAATTAAAAGACATTGTTGAAAGATATCAAAGGCCTAAATAGATGGAAACATCTATATTCATCACTCAGAAAACTTAATACATTAAGATGGCAATGCTCCCTAAACTGATCTACAGATTCAATGCAATCTCCATCAAAATCCCAGCTGGCTTTTTGCAGAGATTGATAAGCTGATTCTAAATTTCATATGGAAATAAAAGGGACTCAGAAGCAGCCAAATTATGAAGATCAAAATTGGAAGACATTCATGTCCTGATTTGAAACTTACTACAAAGCTACAGTAATCAAGATGGTGTGGTACTGGCATGAGGATGGACATACGGATCAATGGAATAAAATTGAGAGTCCAGAAGTAAAGCCAAACATCCACGGCAAAATGATTTTTTTTTAAAGATTTTATTTATTTTGAGAGAAAGAGAGAGAGAGAGAGCACAAGTGAGGGGAAAGGGCAGAGGAAGAGGGAGAATCAGGCTCTCGGTTGAGCAGGAAGCCCAATGGATGTAGGGCTCGATCCCAGGACCCTAGGACATGACCTGGGCTGAGGGCAGAAGCTCAACTGACTGAGGTACCCAGGTCCCTCTTGCAAACTGATTTTTTCTTTTCTTTTCTTTTTTTAAAGATTTTATTTATTTATTTGACAGAGATCACAAGTAGGCAGAGAGGCAGGCAGAGAGAGAGAGAGAGAGAGGAAGGGAAGCAGGCTCCCTGCATAGCAGAGAGCCCGATGCAGGGCTCATCCCAGGACCCTGGGATCATGACCTGAGCCAAAGGTAGAGGCTTTAATCCACTGAGTCACCCAGGAGCCCCACAAACTGATTTTCAACAAGAGTGCCAAGACCATTCAGTGGAGGGAAAGAATAGTCTTTTCAATAAATGGTGCTGGAACAACCAGCAAAAGAATGAAGTTGGATTACTCACTTCACATCATACACAAAAACTAACTCAAAATGGATTAAAGACCTAAATGTAAGATGTAAAATTATAAAAATCTTAGAAGAAAACATAGGTATAAATCTTTGTAACTTTGAATTGGGCAGAGGTTTCTTAGATGGGATGCCTAATACATAAGCAACCAAAGCAAAAATATATATAAACTGGATTTCATAAAAAATTGAAAACTTCTGGGACGCCTGGGTGGCTCAGTTGGTTAAGCAGCTGCCTTTGGCTCAGGTCATGACCCCAGCGTCCTGGGATCGAGTCCCACATTGGGCTCCTTGCTCATCAGGGAGCCTGCTTCTCCCTCTGCCTCTGCCTGCCATTCTGTCTGCCTGTGCTTGCTCTCTCTCCCTCTCTCTCTCTCTGACAAATAAATAAATAAAATCTTTAAAAAAAAAATTGAAAACTTCTGTGCTTCAAAGGACACCAACAAGAAAGTCTAAATATAATGCAAAGACTGGGAGAAAATATTTGCAAATCATGATTCTAGTATCCAGAATACATTAAAAACTCCTACAACTTAACAAATAATAAAAATATAGATAACCCAATTTTTAAAGTGGGCAAATGATTTTTTTTTAAGATTTTATTTACTTATTTTACAAAGAGATCACAAGCAGGCAGGGGGAGCAGCAAGCAGAGGGAGAGGGAGAAGCCGGCCTCCCACTGAGCAAGGAATCTGATGTGGGGCTCAGTCCCAGGAATCCCAGATCCTGACCTGAGCAGAAGGCAGATGCTTAACCCACTGACCTACCCAGGCGCGCCTGGGCAAAGGCTTTGAATAGACATTTCTCTACCGCAGATATCCAAATGGTCAATAAGCCATGAAAAGATAGTCGTCATCATCACTAGTCATTAGGAAAATGCAAATCAAAACCACAATATTATTTCACAGCCACTAGGATAAATTGAAAAAACAAACAAACAAACGAACAATAACAGGTGTTGGTGAGCACGTGGAGAAACTGGAACTCTCATATGCTGCTAATGAAAATCCAAAATTGTGCAGTTGCTGTGGAAAACAGAAGGGCAGCTCCTCAGATGGTTAAACACAGAGTTACCACTATGTGGCTCGCAATTTATTCCTAGGTATGTCTGCAAGAAGACTGAAAATATGCTTGCACAACTTGTATACAAACATTCATAGCAGCATAATTGCCAAAAAGTGGAAATGACCCAAATGTGCATCAGATGATGACTTGGATAGATGACCTGTGTATATCCATACAGAGGAATAATATTCAGCTCTAAAAATGAATGAAGTACTGAGAATTACTACCGTGGGGATGAACCTTGAAGACACTGTAAGTGAAAGGAGCCACGCACGAAAGACCATGTGTTGTATGATCCCAATGATATAAAATGTTCAGAATAGGCAAATCCATGCAGACAGAATGTAGGTTTTAGTAGTTGCCTGCGGCTGTGAAGAAGGGGTGATTGAGAGTGATAATGGGCACAGGGTTTCTTTTTGGGATGACGGAAATATCCTAGAATTGGATAGCAGTGGTGGTTGCACAACCCAGAGATTATATTGACAACGACCAACCTGTACACTTATTTTATTTATTTAACAGAGAAATCACAAGTAGGCAGAGAGGAAGGCGGGGGGAGGGGGCCCGTGGGAAGCAGGCTCCCCGCTGAGCAGAGAGCCCCATGTGGGTCTGGATCCCAGGACCCTGAGATGATGACGTGAGCTGAAGGCAGAGGCTTAACCCACTGAGACACCCAGGCACCCCCTAAGCTGTACATTTTTTTTTTTTAAAGATTTTATTTATTTATTTGACAGACAGATCACAAGTAGGCAGAGAGGCAGGCAGAGAGAGAGGTGGGGGCAGGCTCCCTGCGGAGCAGAGAGCCCGATGTGGGGCTCGATCCCAGGACCCTGGGATCATGACCTGAGCTGAAGGCAGCAGCTTAACCCACTGAGCCACCCAGGAGCCCCAAGCTGTACACTTTAAAATGAGTAAATTTTGTTAGTGAATTATAGCTGAATAAAAAAATGAAAAGATTGTGTGAAGGGTTAGATAGTGCATATAAAGCACTGACAGCGCCTGCATGCTATACAGGTGATTAATAACTATTAGTTCTCTTGCCGTTTTGTCCTTCCAGGATCTCCAACTTTTTACACCATCCATCTACCCACTCAGTACCAGCTCCTGGGCCCCACGTGCCCACCGACACCTTTAGGCATGGGGTGGGGGTACAGCAGTGAGGGAAGAAGTCTCATTGGAACTTGCCATCTGATAGGGGACACAACGTGCAATATGGAATTACAATCTGAGAAGCATTATGGAAAAAAAGAAGCCTTCCTGAGATTGAATAAATGACATCTGATCTAGTTTGGAGAGGGAGTAGTGTGTAGGGACTTATCCTGAAAAGGAGGCGTGGTTGTAAACAAATAATGTTCTCTTTTTCCTTGCAGAGGAAGTCTGAAGCAGCTGAAGTTTGGTGAGTAACCACATTGTTGGGTGGTCTGTGTGCCTTTGGAAGGGCTGTGGCCTCCCTGTTTCCTTATTGACTCAGCAGGGTGCATGGCTGGTGTGGGGCCTGGGAGAGGAGGAAGGACTCTGGCAGGAGTTAGCTGGCATCTGAGACCCTCTAGTTCTCCTTCTGTCTTGAGAAGTAGACAAAGAACAGGAAGAAATATTTAAAATAGGAGGTGGTGGGGCGCCTGGGTGGCTCAGTGGGTTAAAGCCTCTGCCTTTGGCTCAGGTCATGATCTCAGGGTCCTGGGATCGAGCCCCACATTGGGCTTTCTGCTCAACGGGGAGCCTGCTTCCCTTCCTCTCTCTCTGCCTGCCTCTCTGCCTACTTGTGATCTCTGTCAAATAAATAAATAAAAATCTTAAAAAAAAAATAGGAGGTGGTTTCATAAACTCATCCTTTTCTGGATCCTGGCAAACAAGAACAGACTGTTTACAAATTGGCATTCTAATTTTGGCCTTTATTTTCAGAAAGATTTTAAGTGATTTGTAAGAAACAAACAGAAAACTTAATAAAATAAAAGAGTCACAGAGAGGAAAACAAATATTCCAGAAAGCTAGGCTAACAGAAATACTGTATTGAGTATTAAATTTAGCTTTATGCTTCCTAATAGCCAAGGCAAAAAGAAAAATATGATGTAACCTGTTTTAATGTCGGTTGAAAAGGAAGCACACATATCAATTTCCTTGTTGTCTTTAAGTTTCCAAAATGTGATTTGATGAGAATATTAAGGAACACATTAAAAAAAAGGGCCCATCATAGTATCATCTTCCAAATGCTGCCATTTATTGAGGACCTCCAGCAGGCCAGGCACTTTGTGTGGGGAGGAGGGATTATCTCCATTTCAACTATTTTAATTTTTGCAAAGTACCTTCCAATCCTTGACCACTTAGATGTACTTTTCTGAATAATTATAAGCTAGCACTACCCCCTCCATACTTACTAGATGATTCTCAAACTCAAATATGCATACAACCCACCTGGAGATCTTGTTAAAATGTAGATTCTGATTCAGTTCGAGTGGGGCCATAAACCCTGTGTTTCTAACCTGCTTCTCATAATGGTTGCACTTTTGAGTAGCAAACTGTTAGAGCGCATGTGAACATACATGGGGAAGTTTTTTTGTTTTGACTGTTTTTTTAAAAATGTCAAATTTTATATTCTTGCATTTTTTTTTTTTTTTAATACCACAGGTCACCTGTCTCCCTGACAATGGAAAATTAAGGAATCGAATTCTTCAGAGACAAAAACTTGTACCTTCCATGCTTCCCTGTTCCTGGGTACTATAGACCTGACGTTCTGAAGCCTTTTGCTATAGGATTAGAACATGGCGTGTATACAGAAAATTTTCAGGGGCAAGCAGCCCCGCAGTGACCAACATCAGATATTTGGAGAGAAATGGGTGGTACTCTTCTGATGGGGCCCCAGTTCTCTTCGTATCCCTTTTACACCAGCGATCACTTTACCCCCTCGAGGCCTCTCCTCTGTAAAATGAGAGGGCTGAGTGAGTCCCCGTCTCGGGGCCTCCCAGGTCTGAGTTTCCCACAGCCAGCCTGCCTGAGGATACATTTGTTTGAAGGCACACTAGAAACAGCCACCCAGCTCTAAAAGGGTGGGGCGGGGGGGAGAGGTGCTTGTAAGTGTGCTAGATCATTTCAGGTGGAGGTTTTAGGGGTCCTCTGTTTCTTTCTCACATTTTTTTTTTTTAATTGGTGATTGGGGTGGGTAAGGAAGGGAGGGGCCACCAGAACCTGAATCCATCAGAAAGCCCTATGAAGATTGGGTGAACACAAGATCTAAAAACTTAGGAGACTGACTTTCTCTCCTTTGGACCCCTATATGATCCAATAAGAACTGGGCACTGGCTTGAGAAATTTGTTATAGTAGATTATATTTCTTGCAAAAAAAAAAAAAAAAAGCTCAGTACTTTGAATTTGGCACTCTAAATGGTGCATCTTTTGCCAGCCTCCAGAGGGGAACTCAATTTAGGTAATACCTCCTTGTGGCAAACACCAAAACAAACAGGTTCTTTGGGCTATTCCCTGCCTGGGGATGGTGCACGGAAACTGGGTTTTGTTGGTCATCCACAGTGGATAAACCTGATAAACAGGTGTTTTTTCCTGGTCTTGTGCAGCACTCAGTAAAGAGAAAAAGTGGGCGCTGGTAAGAGAGGGGAGGAGGTAAACTCTGAACAAAACTTTTTTGGATCTTGTTCCTTGGTCAAGGTGCAGACACTGACACAGCAGGTTTCTCCTTCCTGGGCTGTAAGGGACGCTTCTTTTTTTCCCTTTAAACTCAACTCTACCCCCAGCATGGGGCTTGAACTCACAACCTAGGCAACAGTCCGAAGCTTTATGGCTGAGTCAGTCAGGTGCCCCCGCAGGGCACATTTTTAATCAAAGCCTTGACAACCTGTCCAGTGAGTGTGGTTTCTTGCACAGTTCAGATGGATTAGGAATGAGTACTACAGACTGTCCTGTTGTTGGTAATGGAAACTATTAGGATGGGACTTAATAATCACATTTGTATTTTCTTGTGTTGATGGAATTATTTCAGTCAGGCACTTACTTTATGCAAACCTGATGAATGACAGAATCCAATAAATTCTGTAGCTTAGTGCCTTTTCTAGTTATATTTACTTCTCATAATTTTACTTTTTGTAAGTAGTAACTTTTCTAAAAGTCTACCCTCTAAAGATTTCTCGCTAAAATAGTAACTATGGTGGTCCACTGAAGCTTCTGGGGGACTTAGGGTGCATCTGCCAACAGCCTGCACCTTGCTCTTGTCAGGAACAGCCAGCTTCACCAAGGTGCTCCGAGTCCCTTTACGAAAGACCCCGTGCTGGGGAAGGATCTGCAACTCTGTTTATGAGTCAGATGACCCAGATGACCTTTTGCTTTACCTTCAAAGAAACTCATTATTCAATCTCTCCAATCACAAGATTAATTTTGGTTGCTATCTAGTAACTGTTTATCAGCTCAAGTAGCTTTACTTTTACATAAATTCCTAAAGGCAGGAATCTCCTCTTTGGAAGTATGTAGAAGTTCAATAAAATCAGCACTCCTCTAACCAAGTCACCTTATTGCTTTCTTGCTTCTGGCTTGCCTCTGGCTTGGGCTGGGCTGTTGGGATGGTTGTGATGCCCAAGCTTTACCAACCATGAGTAGGCCTGAGCAGATGTGGTCAAGAGAGGATTAGTCATTTACATCTGAGAAGTGAACAGGAAGGATATTTTAAATGCTTTCATTGTTTCACGTCCCTGCATTAGTTACCTGTTGTTGTATCCGTAACACATTGCCACAGACCTCCAGTGGCTTACACGTTTTTTGTTTTTGTGGGTTAGGGATCTGGCAAGAGTTGGTATGGTGTCTGCCTCCAGGTTTCTCACAGGGCTGCAGTTAAGATGTCAGATTCTTCCAGGCTCAGTGGTTGTTTGCAGGATGCAGGTTCTCACAGGTGGTTGGGCTGCGGGTGTCCCCATAAGGCAACTCACATGGCAGCTTGTTTGCCCAGAAGAGTTCCAAGACAGAGAGGGGGGGCGCAGAAGACAGCAGCCGCAGCCCTTTGTAACCCAACCTCAGAAGTAGTACTTGCTACTTTTGATTTAACCTGTTAGAACAGTCATCAAGTCCAACCCACATTCAAGGTGAGGGGATTATAGGGGCGCCTGGATAGCTCAGATGGTTGGGTGCCTGCCTTCGGCTCAGGTCATGATCCCTGGGTCCTGGGCTCCTTGCTCAGTGGGGAGTCTGCTTCTCCCTCTCCCTCTGCCACTCCTCCTGATTGTGCTCAATCTCCGACAAAAAAAACAATCTTAAAAAAAAAAAGATGAGGGGATTATACTAGTGTGTTAGTACCAGGTGGGAATCACCGGGGTCCTTTTTCCTAAAGATCAAATAAGTGCTCTAACCCTCAAAACTCATCCCACTTTTGTTAGCTTACCTCAAGAGGATTTGTAGTAGGGTCCACTAATTTTCCACACCGACGGTCCTTTCCTCTACATTTACAAAATCCAAAGCAACCAGTGCAGTCTTAAGGGCACAACTTCTAGGAACACACCTCAGGTGCGGGCAGCCAGTGGACTTCTATAATAGTCCAGTTCTGACAGCTGGAGGACAAGCCTTGTTACTGGGTTAAAGTGGGCAGAAGCTAGACTGGAATTAAGGACAAAAGATTATGATAAAAAAGCCTCCTCCCTCAGAAGGAATGGTACAGCCAGCAACGCAACTATATACTAATGTAAACTTGCTTAATGAAACTTCCAAACACTTAAAATATCTCAAAATTTCTGGCTTTTTACCTGGGATATCTGGCATCACAAGGACTTTGTGTGGACTAATATTTGTGCAGAGACTTAAAGGCAAATGTGTATCACACATGTAGTTCCTAAATTCCAACAAGACTTTAAAATTAAATTCCTAAATTCCAACAAGACTTTAAAATTAAAAACAAGACTTTAGGGGCACCTGGCTGGCTCAGCCAGTTAGGTGTCTGCCTTCTGTTCAGGTCTTGATCCCAGGGTCCTAGGATCGAGTCCTGCATCGGGCTCTCTGCTTGGTGGTGAGCCTGCTTCCCCCTCTGCCTGCTTCTGCTTGCTCTCTGACAAATAAATAAAACAAACAAAAAAATCAAACCCCAAGACTTTAGTGACATGAAAACAAACTTCCTCCTCAGGTCTCAAAGCTCTTGGATTATATATAAAAGTTTATATATTTAATCTTCACATACCGAAGACTGTGCAAGAGATGTGGTAGTTATCAATGACTTGCTAACTTCTAAGGCCCCAAATTGGTGGGCAAAACACAAAGGACTATTCAAGCTCTCTGGTGTCATTAGGCCTTAGTTTGGGGGATAAATATAATTCTTTATAAAATTATTTATTTATTTAACAGAGAGCAAGCGAGCGAGTGCACAAGCAGGGGGAGAGGGAGAAGCAGTCTTCCTGACTACGTGGGGCTCAATCCCAGGACCC